CAGGGCAGCAGGCTGTCCGGACTCGTAGGTTGCGATGGGTGGTGTTGTCCTGCTTCCACGCGCACTCACTGGCACATTGGACATCGTGAGTGTGAGTGTCCCACAATATAAACACCAAAGTACTCCCGTCGACTTTCAACACGAGGATTCTTGTGCACAGCGCGATATAGAGCCATACCGATGAAGGATGAAGATGTTGTGCATGTGCTAGGGATCTGCGGCGCCTTCATCATGTTTTAGAATTTGCAAGCTGCCACTGGAGGTCGCGTCAAGACCGCTATTCGTCCTGCGAAGCTAAATGGCACCAGCACCAGAGTAGCGAAGGAGACCCTTGGCCGCACCCCCGTCAAAAGGAAAACGGTTCCCAGGAAGTGAACTCATGGCGTATAGCCTGATATCGGACCCGATGGCTTGGTAGAATGGTAGCACCGCCCCGTCGACCAAACCCTTCGAGACGTCCATAATGGCCACATGTTATGACTTTATGACTTTCAGAATCTCAATGAAATTCGCTTCAGCTTTACTGTGGTGCACAGGCGTGGTAGGCCCCGAGTCTTCGGCACTGCCCATTTCCAATTTGTCATACCTATAAGATAGTTGCAGTGTTTTCCAACCCGCTTGGCATCGTCAACGGATCTTTGCGACGTAGATGTCAATCGCAGATCAAGTGGATCTTCTCTCCATACAGGAACGCAAGCCCAGGCACCTTCGAAACTTGTCCCACAAAAAGCAGATCTATCGATCTCTCATTTTCCGAAATTTGTGTTCGTCGTTGGATACAGTTCTTGCTGGCTTGAAAGCAGAAACCCAAGTATCTGGTATCGTCTTCTGGATCAAGGTCCATGACGAGGCCAGCAAGTTCCAGGCGCGTTTGGTCGTCTAACGGGGCACCTTCGAAATTCACCCGCGTCTTCGGGTAAGCTCTTCAGCTGATCTGCTGCCCAACGTTGAATACCTCGGATCCCATCATCCTGAGATAATGCCCCTGGACACATCAAGGACATCTCCGTGTTAATGGCCAACAAGCCCAAGCAGTCATACAATGCTTGAAATCCTGGTGATATTACTTGTGCCTCTTGCATTGCCGCGTGCAGCTGACGTTTCCACTGTGCAGCATGGCTTGCTGTCAACCCCGCTGCTATCCGGTTCATCAAAGGACGGCATTGCGTATGTGGTAGATCAATGATACCCCAGTATAAAGGGTCATTGTGAGCGGCTTGCTGATGCGTTCGAATCCGAGACACTTCGGCTTCCAGCGACGCTGGCACCGTCTCTGGCGTATCAAATGGGTTGTGGTCCGTGTCAGCCTCAGAGAGGGCGTCCTCACAAAGCTCGACCTGAACAGACTCGAGCGAATGTTTGGTGCGCTATGCTGTATTACGTGCGAATTCGTCGATCAGGCGTCTTTCACTCTTTTCACACTATTCACTGGATTCCTGAAAATGTGATTGACCATCTTGAATGTCGTCTTGCGGTTCTTCTTCCATGGCTGCATGAGCAATTGTTAAATTGATGGTTTCCAGCGCAGTGGGAGACCTAGCGGAGCGGAAGAGCTTCAGGGCGTTCTCAAACCCCTTCCACTCTCAACCGGGCATGCGCACATCCCGGCGATCCGCTGTTGCCGGGAAAGGGACATCCGCAGATTCCCCGCCGGATCAAGCTTAGGGCAACTATCCGCGTCTCCACGCCAGAGCTTTCATTAATCCGACAATGACCTTACGCAGTTGAAACCCCTCCAGCAAGGGCCAAATTCTACTATGATTTGAGCTGACTTTGCGCCTGAGATAGATCCCCAAATCTAGGTAGGCTTCGGCGACGTCTCGGTCCGCTGTCAGGAGACAAGCAAACATTGTCTCCAGTGCCTCGGGGGTCGCCACACCGGCAATATCTATCTCGTCGAGGACGTCGTCCGTAGCCATGACGTTGACACACGTACATTCTACTCGTCGAGAATCGCGTTAGGGTTCTGAATTCAGAATACTGTTCATCGCTGGGCCAATTGGATGCCTTTCTCCATCGGGCCTGCCGTTTAGGTATATATGTACGAATTGTGAGGTGCGTGAGTTAAGACGCGTTAAAAACGCTTCTTGCGGTCACTTACGTCGTATATTTATTAATAACAACAATAAATAAATATTACAACCCCCCACCACCTTCCATTCACGGTCTTCTTGCCGTCCAAAGGGATCAACCCTGCGTGCTCGTTCCTTCGCATGGGTTAGGATCTTGCTCTGTGCTTCGAAGTGCAGGTTAATGGTAGCGACAAGATCCAGCACTCGCACCGTTGCCGTCAGTGCTAATCCTTGTTTCTGTCTTTCTGTCAGGCACATCCGGTTTTTAATGACGTGCAACGCAAGCATGGACAACTTGCTTGCATTTTTAAATGAGCAAGCTTTGCAGGAGGCAACTAGTTGCCGGAGTACGAAAACCGAGTTCTCGACCAGCTTCAAGCTATCCGACAGGTTATGATCCACGATTTCTGGGATATTGCCGCCATTGCATTCAACTAGAAGGAGCTCCCTATGACTTTTGGGGTCAACACCCAGGCCATCTGCATACCTAGTGGAATGCGCAGTATCCTCGGTTCGATGATTGTATGCCTCCGCCCCGTCTATGATTTCTTTCCTCATCACGTTCAGCCGCCCTTTCCCGCGCAGTCCAGTACTCGAGGACATCACCGTTGTTTTGGACAACGTAATTCCACTGCTTGAGAAGCGAAGAGGCGCCTTTCTTCGCCTTGACGGCGTTTGAACTGGTGAGCCGAATTAGGCTCTCGCGCTAGTTTTTCGCATGTTAATCGCTCTCTTTGAAAAGTTGTGTTCTTGAGCAAATTTCGCCAAAGCCTCTCAAAACTAAAAAATCCAAGATCCACGATCATGTAAATCGCATTTTACACACTCTTGGATCTTGGATTTTCAAGATTTCTCAGAATCATGAATGAGACATCGTTCTTCTTGACAAAGCCCGAAACGAGCTTGGCATCGTCGTCGGTTCCAAAGTGAGCAAACCACATATCCCTAACATTTAGGTACTGAAATGTTAGCCACATGATGAACGAATGGAGCCCGAACATGAGCAGCCACATACTTTCTGTTCACAACATGCAGGTTTTGGTAATCTCAAAGCATCCAACCGCTCAGCACAGGCACGGGAGATGACAGTCGCATTTGCATCCGTGAATCCCGCGTTCGACAACAAGAGGTGATATTTATATGAGTGTAGCCTGATTGGCAACACTGGGTTCTGCTTCTGTAGTATGACGGCTATCATGGAAGCAAATGAAAGTAGGGAAACGTCAAGAATAAATAACTGCCAAATGGCAGTGCCTCAGGAAAAAGCATCATCTTACCATTTTCACTAGTGTGCCGACGAGGGGGGGAAGGTTGGGACGGAGGGAGGAAGTCTACCACCTCCCGTCCACAAGAAACCCCTCCACAACGATGTACACGTCTGCTGACTTCATGCATATTTGAAATGAGCTTACCACGGGACGACGGGAGACCAAACCACTCAAACGCTCACAAATCACATCCACGCCAGCGCCAGCGTCAATGTATTCAAGCAACGCAGTTAGCTCAAGCCGAGCAAGGGCGAGTTGGACCATGCTGGGAATGTGAGTAAATGAATGGTATGAGTAAAGCCGCGTAGGCATAAATAGGGGCCGGTCCTGCTACGCGTCTCTCTCCTCCCATAACCTACTCCCTTCCGCCCTCCGCGTTCTCCCCATCTCACACAAAAAGATCAAGCAGGTCCGTCATCGCTTAGCATGGTATGATGCCTCTGGGAGGCCGTTGATTGACTTAGTTTTGCCTTATTTCAGGCCGATGCCTCTGGAGGGCCCGATGCTTCTTTTGAAGCCGTTGCCTCTGGGAGGCCGTTGCATTATTTTGAGGCTGCCACTGTCCGCATCTTAAGGAACGCGCATGAAATTGATCTCAACGACGCCAACATGGACATCTTGTAGAATTCGCTGTCCTCCCTAGAAATCAGCAATGGCCAAGTACGTCTCAGAGTGGTTGCCTCAACATCAATGGTCAGGATTCAGAGAGGATTGAATATCCCCATCAGCACATCAATAAAAGAGGACAGCAGTAGTGAAGCGGCACACCAAAGTTGACATTGCATTTTCTAATAGCCTTCATGATAACGAGGGCAATAATTCCCACCGTATGGTGAGCACCAGGACTAAACGGATTGACTGTATCCATTGGTCGAGCATGGCACCCTTTTCCAGAAGGATCCTTGAGGAATCGACTGCTATTTCCATGTAAAGTAATGGCAGCGGTAGCAGATATGGCTGAAAACACTGCTGCGTACTACACGAGCACACAGTACGTCGAGCAAGAAAGGTTTCCTTGTTTAATTTACCTGTCCAGCGCCCCGTTCGCTTTATACACTGTGCAATAGGTGCGTCCGCACAACGAATTGTAACGAAACATAAGCCATTAGGACATCTCTACTCGACCGCCCCCAGCTGGTAAATACTTAAATGGTACTCCATCGTTCGATACTCCCATGCGTTCATGGACAGGCCAATCGTCGAACAAAAACAAACGGTCCACACCTGCACAGCTACGACAGCAGAGGCTCTTGGAGAGTTATTGAAGACCTATTCTTAGTGATGCAAGCGCGACGACTCGAACGCACGCTGAGGGTCACAGGCGACTCGGCTACACGATGTTGTTCAGCGGCTCCAATCTGTGATCAAGTGCGGAGATGCGGACGCACGCTATGCATAGGTAATTACTCAACGACAAGCGCAATGGGATGCACTTCAACAACGGCGAGCGCGGCGACTCGCATGCACGCTGTGGTTCATCACTCTCAATGCGGGCTCCATGGCGCACGGCAAGCGCGATGACTGGGATGCACTTCAACAACTGGCTCCATGGCGCAACGGGCAAGCGCGGCGACTCGCATGCACGCTGTGGTTCATCACTCTCAATGCGGGCTCCATGGCGCAACGGCAAGCGCGATGACTGGGATGCACTTCAACAACTGGCTCCATGGCGCAACGGCAGCGCGTCTGACTCCAGATCAGAAGGTTGGGTGTTCGAATCACTCTGGGGTCACATCCTTTTTGTATGTTTTGTCTATGGCGTTTCGCGGTGATAAGTTGCCGCAGTCTCTTGTGTGGAGTAGAGTATGGATTGCGCTGCTGATCTGGAGTCATTCTGACTCCAGATCAGCCCTTTCACCCATATGCAACAGCCGATGGTATTATTATCATTCTATGCTAGGCAACATGAGCAAAGCTGTGGTTTTGGCCGCGAAGGAGAGCGTGTGGATGCGGAAAGGTGTTGTATGTAAGAAAGTACGAGCTGCTGAGCTGTGGTCGGCATTGTAATAAAGGAGTGCTGCTTGCGAATAAATAAATCTGTCATGTAAGACTCCAGATCAAACCATTTTACTTTTTTCCCATAAGAAACGGACCCTTGGGTCACTCACGAGCTTTTGCATTTGTCTCTCGGGTTGTGTCTTGTCGTTTTCGTTTTCGAGTGCATAACACATGTTTCTGGCTGTTACAAAGTTTAACAAAGACACACATCCGTGTATGAGCATGGATCGCGCCAAGCAAAGGCAGTAGAGATAATTATATTAAGATGATGATATAGGCTTGGGGGATGCAATTACAAAAAATGGTAGCAGAGTGAATTCCCCCGTTATGCACTGGCAATAGCTGCACCGACAGACGGTTCCGAATCGTTCAACATGGCATTCGATCTCTTTCTGAAAAGACTTCGTTTTCTCACCGGCGCGGTAGTGGGTGGCAACACTGCATACGCCGGTGGCATCATCCCAGGGACTGCCGCTCCAGTGGCCATGGGTGAAAGTGGGACCAAGGGTCCACCACCACCACCCATCTGTTGTTGCATTTGCTGGTAAGCGGCCTGTTGGTATGCCGCAGCTTGGTGATAAAATGCAGCCCACATTTGTTGCTGCTGAGCCATGGCCATCGATTGTTGTTGCGGAGAAAGATGGCCGAGCGGGGTCACCCGGTCTTGTGGTGGTGGTGGCGCCATATCGTTGGAAGGTTGGTTACGCCGTCTTCCGGGTGTGACGTCAACGGATCTGCTGCGTGATGTACTTGGTGCAGACGACAGCGGCGGCTCTACAGACCTTTGTCGTGGAGGGACCACACGCTGTCTCCGCCCTTTTTGTTGTTGCTCTTCCATCGCTTGAATTCTAACTCCGACCAGCGGGGCTTCTTCATCCGACTCTGAGCTTGATCCATCCACTTCTCGGCGGCGGCCGCCGCGCGACCGCGACCGCGTTTGTGGTGATGATGGTGGTGGTGCTGGTGGATGGCGGTTTAAATCTCTCGGTCTCGCCAGTGATGTCGAGCGCGGTTCTACAGGCATCGGCATACCGCGAGGACCGCGGGAAGCAGACCTCCCACGCGAGCGTGCAGCAGCAGCAGCAGCCAGGCTAGCATGTATCGGTACGTGATCATCCTCATCGTCCTCTGATTCAGTCCCGCTAGATTCAGCTGGCTGCATTCGATGTCTTCCACGCGACGTCGGCGGCGGTGCAGCCTTGTCCGCTACCGCCCTTCTACCTCGGCTGCGACCTCTGCTTGACGACCGTCGCAGGGTGGGCGTGTTCTCTTCAGTGCTAGGTATCGCTGCCGCCATGTATTTTTCCGGGTTTTCGCGTGCTCGTCGATTGTATTTCACGGGAGACCTGGCAGGAGAGGGTGCATCCCTCTGTTGCCGGTTGGCGCTTCTTGGTCGTCTCGAGCTCGAAGGTCGCCGAGCTGTTCCGCTGGTTGCTCTATCATATAATTGAAGGGCTTCTGCGAACAGGAGATCCTCGGGACCACGTCTTGTAGACTCTACCGGCGCGGAACGCGGACTCGCGTCCGCCACATTGGACTTGCTTATTCCTAAAGAATATACTTTTGACGTGGTGGCCTGACCTGCAGATTGATACTGTAATTTTGCGGATGATTGTTGTTTGCTGCGAGATGTTACTGGTTCTAATCGAGAAATTAGCCATCACCCGTGGATTTCTGTTTTTGGAAAAAAGTAAACAACTAACCATTGATGGGTTGAGGCTCGCGAGTGGGTCGAGACTTTGTCCCTGTAGACGCTGGCGACGGTTTCGACTGATCGAATGCCAGCTTTGAGTCAAAGTCGAAGAGGACGTCGTCCAGGAAGCCTCGGGATATGGAGGTTCCGGTCGCATGTTGAGTATTGCTAGTTGCAGCAAAGTCGAGTTTCGGATCCAAAGATCTATAGTCGCCGCCGGAAAAGCTGTTCGCGCGGGTCGAAGAGTCACTATCGTCCAAGAACCTGGGCGATGGAGTCGTGGGCGCACTTGCCCTAGTCGAAGTCTTTCGCCGCAGGTCCGATGCCGCCTTTGAATTCGCTTTCGGCGTTGCCGGCGAGTCCTTTTTTGATTTGAAGAAACCGAATCCCATCTTTCCTTCTTCCCCAGGTTCTCGTATTGAAATCGATCTGATACTACTAACTCGCGGCTCCCTTTTTTTTCCGATACTCGCGTGTCGCTCCCTTATCTGTTTTATATGATCCAATACGGAGATGAATTAGGGTCGATCGCCTCGCCGGGGGAGGATCCTTCCTTTGATGATATAAAAGCGGGGAGGGGGTATTCTCGATCTACTAGTATTCTACTCTAAATCTACTCGGTAATAGTAATAGTAGTAGGAGTAGTAGTAACGGTTACGTCGTCGCAGGTGTGTATGTAGTAGTATCGACGTCGTCGGGGCGGCGGGTTTGCAAATGAATTCAGGGCGGGCCTAATAGTTTGTAACAAGTGTGACGTTGAATTGATCTGATAATACTAATACTAACAAGTACTACTGATAGCATATAAAAAGGGGGTTGAATAAAAGGAACACACACACACGTCGTTCTTCGTTCTTCGCTCTTCGCTGGGCGTTGGTTGTGATTTGATTTGGTCGCAAAAAGTATTGCGCCCATCCACAGCTGCGTGCAACAACCAGTCGACCGAGTTTGAATTCAAATTCAAATTCAAACTGACCCACACCCAACGGCGACGATTGGTGAGATCGAGACAATCCTCGCAGACTTCAACACACACAGACACACGGCTCTCTCAGCTCAGAGACAATCAACAACCGATTGCACGCGCGTGATATGATGATCGCTGCGTTTGCTGTGCTGTGGTCTCTCTCCCTATCCAATTCCTTCTTTCCCTTTCTCTCTTCAGCTTCCCCCCGCGCCCAATTCGTCCCGATCGGTGTACACTGTGTGTCTCTCTCTTCCTTGTCAAATTCAAATTCAAACAAACACACCAACCACAACCCAACTCTTTCTTCCTTTCTCTGCCCCGCCCCTCATGTGTCAATTCTTTGCAAAATCAAATACAAAACTTGAAAGAGACTGAGCCCGAAAACGGTGACTCAGATCGCCGCGCTAATTTTTATATTCGTGTTCGGTCCCCCCCGAAACGGCTGAGCACATCGGCACATTATACTGCCACCTCCGCGGAGCATTGTATCGCAGCTGTGAATGTGGCAAATCTCAGATGGTTAGAGTTTTAAAACGACGACAGGCGAAACCGTTGATGGAATGTCGGCGTCTCCGGAGCCTGAGCATGAACACGACCGTGAACACGACCATGAACATCGACCATCTCATCACACTCATCGCACTCATCACACTCATCACAGCCATGATGAAACGAGACATCCTCACGCTCAGCTCGACCCGAATGTACCTCCTCTTCCGGATCGATCGCATGCTGCCCTATTTTACGACCTGGTCAAATGCTACGAAGGTGTGAGCACCAAGAACGGCAGAGACGCTAAAAAAGAGAGGCTGCGGAGGTTCGTTGAGGTGAGTCTCGAAAGACAACCATAAGAGCATGTCAATCGACAACAATATGAACTACCGCTGTGCGTATTCATCTCCTATTCTCTCATGTAAAAGTTTATCATGCGCTGACTCGCTAACTCTTACATTCCACCTTGCCCATCCAGTCTTGGCGCCAGACGGGGGGATCTTTCTTTCCTTTTCTCCGTCTCATCCTGCCGCACCTCGATAAGGCCCGCACCACTTATGGTATGAAGACGACGGTCCTTGCCAAAACTTACATCACCGTCATTGGTCTTTCGCCTGCATCTCCCGACGCCCTTGCCTTGATCCACTATCGCGATCCTAAAAAGGCATCTGCTGCCGGTGACTTTCCCACCGTTTTGAGAAGTGTGCTAGAAAAACGAAGCACAGTCCAGCAGCCCACAATGACGGTTGGAAAGTTGAACGAACTCTTGGACTGGCTGAATGCTACCAGTGACAAAGTCGAACGAGAAGAGATCTTTCGCGAAATCTTTCAGAAATGCACAGTCCTCGAGCAGCTTTGGATTTCTCGAATCATCCTTAAAGACCTCAAACTGGGCATCAGTGAGAATGGCATCTTGGGCTTATTTCACCCAGATGCACTGGAATTATTTAATGTCACATCAGATCTCTCTGTCGTTTGTGACAAACTTCGCGACCCAAGAGTACGTCTCGAACAAAAGGAAATACGATTGTGGCGCACGTTTGTGCCAATGCTGAGTCGTTCAGTGATGAAAAAAGATAGCCTCGGCCTCGAGGAGGTAGTCAAAGGCATGAATGGGCATGCATATTGGGTTGAGACCAAGCTTGACGGAGAAAGACTGCAGTGTCACTACGAGAAACTTGGAAAAGGGAAAGCCGCCTTCAGATGGTACTCGAGAAGAGGAACCGATTACACGGACTTGTATGGCTCCGATCAGTCGTCCGGTGCGTTATCACAATATATCATGGAATGCTTCAGCGAAAGAGTGAACAATGCCATTCTCGACGGGGAAATGTTGGCCTACAATGTTTCAGACGATACGTATGAACCTTTTGGCACTCTGAAATCCGCATGTAATGAAACATTGCGCCTTGGTGCAGCGTCCAAGTTACGTCCTGTTTTTGTCATGTTTGACATCGTGTACCTCAACGGACACAGTCTGTGCGAGATCCCACTGTACGAGCGCCGTTCAACGTTGGAGAAGGCCCTGCGTCCCAAGTTGAACTATTTGGAACTTTTGGAGCATCAAGAAGGGAGGACTGTC